GCCTTTGTGTGTGCTTATGTGTGTAAGAGAGACACCCGGAGGAAACTTTTAATGCTCAGAGGTATGTGGCTCAAAAGACCTAATGGAGTTCTCATGTGTGTCTCATTTCAATATCCCCTTCCTCCTAGAATTTTCTGCATGATGCGAAATGAAATGAGCTGTTACTGTACCTGAGCAAATCTGACCACAGTTTTTTCTGACTACAAGAGATTGTTGAACTCTTTTTCTGAAACAAGATGTGATGGTCTTTTTCTCAGGAGAAAAATCTCATTTTTAATGTCAGTGATGCCTAGGAGAAACAGTTGAAGCATTAATGAGTTCTATTGGTGTAGCTTGACATTTAGGCTATTGGTGGGCCAGACCATGATACTGGGTTTCTAGATTTAATATTAACCTCTTTAAATAATAGGCTTGAATCACTCTTGCACATCAGTTGTGCTTATATATAGTTGAATGTACCATCCAGTTTGTCCTAAGCATACTTTTGGACCATATACTGTAAGTGTAATATTAAAACAGTTGAAAACAGTATATTAGACCATTTTTCATTTCCACTGTTTGACATTTAGAATTTTACAGCATGCAAATGTTTGAAAAAGTGACTTGAATAGTTAAAGGGATACTCCACCCATAAATGAAAAGTCTCTCATCGATTACTTACACTCATGCCATCCCAGTATATATGACTTTCTTCTGTGAAACACAGATTTTTAGAAAAATAACACTGGCCTGCATCATACTTGCTGAATGAAATTCAATACAGTTTTTTTTTTTTTTACCAGTTTTGGGGTGCTGAATTCAAAAATAGAGCATGTTTTGCTCGACCATGTCACACTTTCTCACAAAATATGATGTGACTTAGCATTTTTGCCTTCGAGAACCATTTGTAAGGTGAAGAATTCTTGTATTATGCCTTAATCAGCAAGAAAAGACATGATTCCTCTCTTCATATGAGCCAGATTACAACTATTTGTTCAATTCTCAGCCTGTTTTTTAACATGTATAAATGATTCTGAAGACATTTCCACTTTTTCCAGTCCTTTGCAAATCGTAAGTTACTGTAAGTTTTTGTTGCCATTAAAACCTTTGACATTTAACTGCTTTTGTTATTTGATAAGTGCATTAAAGCTGATACATATACTGTATACATTTGCATTTGAAAAATCTTCATTTATTTTGTGAAGAAAATTAAGTGCTATCAGTAAATCAGCAGAATTATTTTTTCAAGATGCATGATGTAAACGTTGTGTATCGACATGAGACATCACAGTCTTCTGTTTCTTCTAGATTATGGATGGATGTTTGCATTCATTTTGTGTGGTTTTTGAAGTACCAGCTTTGAGGGACCAGTCCAATTGTATGGATGAGAGATGGATTATTGTAAAATATTGCAAAGCTTGTAAATTTTAATGTGACATTGATGTCATAGGAGCTTCTGCTGTAAGAGCTTTAGTTGCATTCTGGGTTCTTTGCTTCTTCATTTTGTTCTGCTCTCGCAATGTAAAACACACCACAGATAGTGCAGATCTGGTCACCCAGTTTAATAATAAAAAAAAAAATTCCATGAATTTTTCCACTGGAATACACATGGAATCTCTTGTTTCTCTTACCAAGTCACTTGCATCTTTCTCTCTATGTTTCGTGGGGTGCTTTAAAACTTTATTTCTCTCCTTGTCTTCCCTTCTAATCCCTATTAGCATCCTTTACTGGGAATGTTTCTAAAGTAGGGAAATGCAATAGACCAGACCCAGATATTTTTGTCTCTCAAATCACAGCAAGCATTTTACATTTCATTTATGCATTTGGCATATGCTTTTAAACAAAGTGACTTTGCATTGAAGATATACAGTTCATTCGTTCACAGAGAACTGAAATATTCTGAATATGATGGTTTTGGTAAACAACATCGATGTAATAAGTAAGTGGTACAATAATTTAAAATTACGGGCCAGTGTGTTTTTGAGTGTGAAGGCAGCAGTTCAAAAATTAATCTGTTTAGCAAACAAACTTAATGTTGTTCCAAATGTCAAAGCCCAGAATCCCGCAGGAACCATCTGTGTATCTGGCACACTATTCATCTCCTGAACACTTATTCCTCACACCCTCTTCCTCACATCAGCATGTGGCAGGATCACAGGGGTAATGAGCGCAAGTGTGTGTGTGTGGTGCTCTACTAAAGCCGATTTTTATTTGTTTCTTTGCTTAGGCATCTCTGTTGAGCTAAACTCTGTTTTCAGGTTCAACAGCATACATTCTGGCCCAGTTTCTGAACAAGAGATTAGACCAAATTTCTCTCTCAGAAAGCCTTTCGACGTTCCAATTAAAACATTTATAAGTCCTGCTGATTTCTTCCTCTTGCCTGTTAATCTTCTTGTGAGAAAGGACGAAAGAGAGGGAAGGCAAATTGAGTTGTAATAATAAGTGAGAGGAAAAGAGATGGATCAGAAATCAGATAAGGTGAGAGATATTGACACAGAGTGAGAGAAAGATAGCAGACATTGATGGATCCAAATGAGAAAGACAAAATGGAGAAGAAGAGGGAGAGTGAGATAAGAGGAAATGGGCGGCTGTGAAAGTTGACAGCGATTTGTGGTGACCTTAAATCATTCCATTTCTGGCGACATAAGCGACAGTGACCGTGCAATGCAATGTGGGCTTGTCTTGTGATGCAACAATTTGAAAAGGTTTACATTGATGCAAATGAGCATCAATGGAATTTAAACAGTGTCAGAAAGTGCTGTTCTAAGCGTGTTTGAATCATGCATTGATAGTCATTCATCTTGTTCATGATAAAATGCATTGCTGCAATATCTATACCAATGTATTAGAGCAAGAGGAATGGCTACTTGCGACCTGCCGACCTCTACAATAAAATCAGTGTGAATGGAGCATCAGTCATTTGGATGAGGAATAGAATATTAACTTAAAATGATCGCTTTCTATATGGACTCATTTTCGCAGATGCATTCAATGGATATTCACTGAATGCATGTATCCGTTACAAAAAATATTTCAGTTCTGTAAGGCAGGCGTACAAGTGTGTGTGTGTGTGTGTGTGTGTGTGTGTATGTGTGTACAGTACTGTGTTGAACTCCATATGAACTGCATCTGTGCTATAAATGCAAATACAACCTGATCTGAGGAGAAAACCTCAACTCCCAACAAACCAGTACACAACACATGCATGCGAGAGACCGACTGGTAAACCAAGCAAACATGCACAGAAAGTGTGGTGTCTGTGACACTGGGTTCTCCTCTACAGTGCTTCTGTAGAGGAGAACTCAGTGTCACAGACACCGCACTTAATCTAATGGATCTGAACTTTGTGTGAACCAAACAGTCAAAATACTACAGCGCCTGAGCCTGTCCTACACACTCACACACACACACACACACACACACAAATTCTCCCACACTCCCAGACACGCAATATGTCAACTAAAGTTCAGGTGCTGTTATCAAGTTTCCTTTCTTGTGTTTGTGTTTGTAAAAATGTGTATAAGAAATACATTCATTTTCTAGTGGCAAATAAATGCTGCATCAATGATTTCATGGAAAAACAAATTTCTAAACCTGAAGAACCTCATGCATTGTAATTGGAATCTGTTTTTTACAGTTGTACTTAAGAGAGAAAGAGAAATTTGCAATTTTTTGTTCAAAAACACAGCGTCCTAACCTGATGTAATGTGATAAAGTGTCAGGCTTCATCGCTTCTATATGAAATTGTTGTTCTGACACTGAAAAGCCCTGTCTACAGTAACCTTTCATTGGTTTAAATCTTATTCCGCACAGTTATATATTAAACATCTTTTTTTTTTTTTTATCTGATTGGTTATTGTCAGACTCTGTTCCGTGTTTTGTGGTTGTTTTGCTCCTCATGTGCCTTCCTTTCCCATGTTTAATTTGTCCCAGGTGTTTCCCTTGATGTTTCATTGCTCCCAGGTGTGTCTCGTCATCCCCTCCTCCTGTGTGTATAAATAGGGTTCCCTGTGTGTGCTCCAGCGTCCGGTATTGTTCATGTCATTATGTATAGCGTGAGTGTTCCATGTTCCGTTGTGTCAATTAAACCCAGTTGGATTGATGTACTCCTCGTCTCTCTCCGTTCCTTGCTCCTCAGTCCGCTCCGCAGTGCACCCGTGACAGTTATGCTGCATTACATTTTCTTTTTCAGTCGGGAATGACAGCACAAACTTGCATGGTTAGGACACGGTAAAAAAAAGAATTACTGTAGTAAGTAAGAACTAACAAAATAATAATATTTTATTATTTAGATATTTACATAAAATATAATAAAAGTTGTATATACTTTTTATTATATAATAAAATGTTTTACTTTTTTAAATAATAAAATGACATTTAAAGTGGTAATATATGCACAGCTACACTATTGTTCACTACTTGTCAGGAAGTTTTTTTTTGTATAAATTAATACTTTTATTCAACAAGTATGAAATGTTTCTTGAGCATCAAATCAGCATATTAGAATGATTTCTGAAGGATCATGTGACTGAAGACTGGAGTAAAGATGCTGAAAATTCAGCTTTGCATCACAGGAATAAATTACATTTTAAAACATAATCAAATAGAAAACCGTTTTTTAAATTGTAATAATTTTACAATATTACTGTTTTAATGTATTTTTGATAAGTGCAAATGAATGCAGCCTTGGTAAGCATAAGAGAAATATATATGTATTAAAAATAAAAAACAACTTACCAATGCCAAGCCTTTGAACAGTAGTGTAGTTACAGTACTTGACTACGTCTTACTGTTGTTGCCATTTCTAATTTGCTGGTTTTTATATAATGTAATAGTCAAGTCAGTGAAGTTGGTGCTATAAAAATTTCAGATTTCCAACGGTTAATGTAATTTTATGTTTTTACAATTTAGAAACTGGTAACTATAGTAATTTTGACATGATCTGAATGTAACAACACTCTATTGCCATAACTTAGGTCTTGTATTTAATTATTTTTTTCTTCTGTGTGTGTGTGTATTAGGTAATGCATTTGTAGTGAGCCTGGCTTTCGCCGATCTCCTGGTGGTTTGCTATCCCTACCCTCTGGTCTTGCACGGCATGCTGCACTCGGGCTGGTTGCCGGGGGAGATGGAGTGTAAGGTCAGCGGCTTCCTGATGGGAGCGAGCGTCATTGGCTCCATCTTCAACATCACCGCCATCGCCATCAACCGCTACTGTTTCATCTGCCAGGCCAACACCTACGAGAAAATCTACGGCCGTGCCGGAACCCTGGTACTACTGATGTTAGTCTGGGTGCTCACCGCCATCGCCATTCTTCCAAACCTGGCACTTGGGTCGTTGACGTATGACCCTCGTGTTTATTCATGCACCTTTAGTCAGACGACAAGCGCGGGCTACACCATTGCCGTGGTGACCGTGCATTTCCTGCTTCCTATCGCGGTAGTAACGTTCTGCTATCTGAGGATTTGGGTGCTGGTGCTCCGCGTGAGGAGGCGGGTCACAACCGATGTCAGGCCACGCCTCCGTCCGAGTGAGTTGCGCCACTTCTTGACAATGTTCGTCGTCTTTGTGCTGTTCGCCGTCTGCTGGGCGCCGCTGAATTTGATTGGCCTGGCTGTTGCGGTGGACCCGCCCCATGTAGCGCCCATGGTCCCTGATTGGCTGTTTGTGGTGAGTTATTTCATGGCATACTTTAACTCCTGCCTGAACGCCGTAGTGTACGGACTGCTCAATCAGAACTTCCGCAGAGAATATCGAAGAATACTTCTGTCACTTTGTAAGCCACGCCTCTTCCTGCAGGAGACATCAAGGGGCGGGACTGAGCGCAGCAACAAACAGTCACCTGGCAACAACAATAACGAAGATCAGCCCAAAGCGAACACAATATAACTTACCCACAATACATTTAATTGTTCAGAGATATCAAAGAAAGAATACTGCAAAAAGGTTTTAAATTGTGTCCACTAATGTTTTGAAATTTTCGTTTTTATGACTCACTTTAGATACCAGCTCAATACCTCATTTGTTGGAAACCATACAATTATAATAATCCTCAGTATTAGAAAAATTGATTACATCTCACAAGTATTACAGTCACATTCAATTAATGCATGCTAATGATTGAGAACAGTGCAATAAATCATTACCAGACAAAAGATGCAAGCTTGAGAAAGACAAAGACCGCAGAACATGTTCATCTTCTCCAAACATGCTCCCCTAGAAAATAACTTATTTTTCTCACTGTTAGTTGGAGGCTGTTTTCTCCAACCATCCATAAATTCTCACCTAACAGATCTCTCACAAGAAGGCAGCACCCAGAGGACTCGCACAGTTTCACAAGTGCTTCCCTAAAGATATAACAATATTAAAGAAACGCTCCCTGAATGCTTACACATTTGTGACCATTCAGCACCTTGACGTACGTTTTCCCAGCACTCCAATAGTGTTAGCACCTTGTGCTATGCAACCAATTCATTTTAAACTCAACGGAGAAAGTGTGAAACTAGGGCTCCCTTAGGTTTGCAGCAAAGGTTATCCAAACGTTCCCCAAAACACTGCAGCATCGTTCTTGTAAAACTCCCCTATTGCTATGCAAACTCAACTCGAGCAACTCCCACTGCTGCTTTCATACAAACACTGTGGAACTCTTCCCATATCCTTCCCACAAAATTCCTCCACTAGGTCTGTGGATTCAGTTCTATGGGAATATGCCAAAATGCTGCAAGAACATGTTTTTTATATTCTCCATAGGTTTAAAAACAAAACATAAAACGCTCCCTATGTCTGCATGTGCACCAGAACACATCTGCACATGCTGCACGTTACGCCATACTCGCATTGAATCCATTAACAGGGTTCAAATGATCAACACAATTTAATAATATAAAAAATAATGAGCATAGGGCTTCATATTTATTTAACACAATGAATAGACTATTTGTCAGCATCTTTAATTTCTTAACAGTCTGATTTATAATAATAATAATAAGACAAAAGTTAAAATAATCTTTATTAATATACCAGCATGTCACTCTGTGTCAATAGACATTTTATACATACACACTTCAAGGTGCCAGTCAATCAAACCACAAAATTAAAGAAGGACCAATTCTTCATGAAACACATTTGATAGCTTTGATATACTGTATGATCAATTCATACTGATACAATCATTTATAGATAGTTAGAAAGTCAAAACTGTGTAGTGAGGAAAGTTTCCATCTCAGTCATATCAGCTACTAAACTTACATTTTAAAGTTTCACTTCACAAATAATGTAGGTTTTACTTTGCTTAACCAGTACTAGTAGTCTGTCTGTCTGTGATGATAAGCAATGGGCTCTGGCTGTTACCGTTTCACAAAGAAAGCGCTTTGTGTTGCACTGCGCTGCTTTTGAATAATTTTTGAAAAACGAAATCTTTGATTCTACCTTTTCAGTGTCTTGCGCATGCGCACCCTGTTTTTGAATTGGTGTGTACGATTAACTTTTAAAGCACGAGTCGAGATCCTGCAATCTTTTCCATGTCACTGAGCTGTGTTTCGTGCATTTAAAAGCAAAAAAAAGTGTTTTGTGTAAATGGCCTCTTGTATGTCAGCTCACCGCAGTTTTAAAGCCCGCCGACATTTATATAGCCAGCTGTCTGGCAGTAAGTTTCAATAAACCGTCATTGACTGAAGAGCTGCCACTCTCAGAAATCAAGGTACAAAAGCTGTCACTGGGGCGGTACCTTTTCAAAAGGTACATGTTTGTACCTAAAGGGTCCATTTTGGTACCTTAAAGGTACATATTAGTACTTAAAGTGTACATATTAGAACCTAATAGGAACAAAAGTGAACCTTTTGAAAAGGTACCGCCCCAGTGACAGCTTTTGTACCTTGATTTCTAAGAGTGTGGATGAGGAAATAATACAACTGTTCAGCGAAAATTGAGTACTTTTAACTTCTTAGCTTTCTAGAGAATAGAATGTTAATATTATTTAGTTTAGTTTTACTAACACCTTACTAATTGGTCCTCATTTATTCCTCACATTCATTCAAAGAAATGTTGCAAGTTACTGATTTTTAATGCCTTTTCTTCTCGTGTAATTTATTTTTAGAAATGAATGGGGTCATACGATACATTTTCATGTTTTCCTTTTTTTTAGTGTGCTAAGATATGAAAAGTCACAAAGCTCAAAGCTTCCAACAAAAGGATTTTTTCTGTCTAAAAGAGAAGGCTGATCCAGACCTGCCAAAAACGCCTCAATCGAATTCTCGCTCATATATCTACATCACTAACAGGGAATATTTGCATAATGCCGCCCAAATGTATATGCAAAGAAAGAAGGCATGGGGTGCATCTCAATCAGATCCCTAGCTCCCAACATCAGCTTACAATGTTGTAGATCGCCACCACTGGTATACAAATCAACAACAGGAAGGAGCCATTTTTTAAATATTATTTTTTATGCTCTTTAAACACATTGGGCCTCATTTATCAATCTAACGTAGAAACGAGCGCAGATCCGTGCGCACGAATCAACTTATGACAGAGTTCACGTGTGATTTAGGAAACATTCACAAATATTTTAAATTTAATGGTATTCAGAACAGAACAAGAATGAAAAAATGTTTGTGTGCAAAAATGTGAACAAGTGCAATAATGTTTGTTTGGGCGCTGCACGCTGATTTTACAGCAGACCTTTTAAAATAAACAGTGTAACTTTAGTGTTTGGTTGACTGCATTTTAGTTTGATGATGAATGGCTGAAATGTCAGGCAACACTAGAACTATTTGTGTGTGCATGAGATTTACTATGCTGCGCGCAAGTTCAGGTAACTCAAAAACTTGCGTACATGAGCTGAAACCAGACGTGAGATTTGATCGCTCCGCTCACGTCCATATTGATAAATTCCAAGTTTTGCGTTGAAACGACCGTATGCTCAATTTTCTGTCGTACGTTCGTTTCGTAAATGAGGCCCATTGTTCTGTTACATATCCTTACAACATTTCAGCCGAATATTAGTTATAAACGTTAACTAGATGTGCTGACTACCTGTCTAGCGATGTGTGTTTATGCTGGAATTACTAAAAAATGATTTGTCTTTTCAAATCTTCTATTATGTGTCATTATATTTATCGAGTTGGCTCGTGCGTTTTATGTTTCGCGCTTTAGAAATGTGACGTAGTTTCCGATAAGGGAGCATAGTGATCAACGATGCTCCCGGGTTATTGCGGTGCATTGTGGGATTTTTCAGGGAGCGAAAGTTCCAGTGCACTGGAAGGATTTCACAATTGAGACAGCCCTTACAATGACCGACTCCGTGATCAGTGCCCTGACTTCTGAACTAGGGAGCTTATTGAGACGCATGTGTGGTTTCAGGTATCGCAGTAGTGTTGTTGCCGCCATGTTGTGGAGACGCTGTGTTTCTATATGAAAGCAAAAGCACTTTATTTGGCCTTCTGAAATTGGATGCAACTAGGAATTAGTGGTTAAGATTTATTTACAGCACTGTTCCAGAACAGTACAACCCTAATGTTCAAGTGTGTGGAGCGCATTTTATGGAGAACAGTTTCCTGAACCTGAGAGTACAAGGCCGGCTGTGCACAAAGGCTGTTTATAAAAAAGGGGGCTATTCCAACTTTGCTAGGACAATCTGGCACTTCTGAATCAGCGCCTTGTATGTATGTTTTATTATTTGCTATTGATTGTTCAAATGCGGTGATTGGTGAAGTGTAGAGTAATGCATATTGTTTGTTGTTCTTATGATCACAAGTGCAGATATGGATTTATGTTTACAAACAAAGTATCCTCTGTCCTCTGTGCAAAAAGACGACAAACATAGATGCACTGCATGTTCTGTTTCACACTAGACGCTCAAGCAGAGCTGAAGCAGCATTGTGCTTTCTCACATGGTAGAGTCACTCTGATACGTTCTGCTCAAGTAGCACTTGCAAAGTTGGTTCCGATCCATCTGCATTTTCAGATTTATCTGACTCGGGCTCAAACTGATATGGTAAAACTGACGACATTATCAACTGTCTTTATATAATTGCTTTGGAAGCTGAAGCTCGTGATTATGATAAGGGGCGTTACACTGGTTCAGCTGTCCAATCAGAGCACACTGAGCTTTTCAGAAGGAGGGGCTTTGTAGAAATTGATGCATTTTTGAAAGACTGGGCATAGAGAAGATACAATAATGTACAGTATGTGAAAAGAATGTATTTTTTGAACATTAAAGCATGCTGACATACTCTATTACACCCAATACACAAAATAATGATCTTTGAAAATAGCATCACATGACCCCTTTAATCTCCACAACCTGTGCTCACCTTTTCAGTACTTTTTCATTATTCTGGAAATCATTTTTTTGTCTTTAAAGATTCCACTACAGATGTGTTCATTGTCAAACTGTGTGTATATTCTTTGTGTGTATGTGAGCTCTTTAAGCCTAAAAAATGTAAAAACTAGAATCTGCCAAAAAAAAGAAAAACTGACAGGTGAATTCACTAAACAGTTACATCAAAACATTTAACAATTCAGCACAAAACCCCTCGCTATAAGCACCCGTATTTCAGTTTAGCCACACATCTAACACTCAAAACCAATTGACATGGCCAAAATTTGCATTGAGAAAACTCCATTCAGCACTAATTTTGTGCCTATTTTTGCATAATTCATTTAGTGCCCCAGGTGCTAAAACAATGCAGATAGTTTGCAAATAAACAAGTCATAGACATGGGTTTACTTTTATTCACATTAATCAGTGGATCTTCCAGTTCAGGGTCAGATTTAAGCCTCAAATTTTAAGTACTTCAAATTATGAATACCAGTAGCAGTGAAGTTTTAACAATTTATTCCAAAGAGTTTTTGGCTCCTTTTCAACGGGGGCTTCAATTCTGATTCCAGTGAGTAATAATAATGCTTTATAAAAGGCATCAATGCACTTATTGAAATCTTAAGTATACTGCAATCGTTAAATATTGTATTTTATAATCTGTTGAACCATGGTGCATTTTGGCAGTCTGTAACATTTTTATTTCACATGGTCAAAAATCGATTTAATTTTTGTGCCCCAGTAAATTTGGAAAAATGTTACTGAAACCCAAACACCATATATTCCGAGAGTGCTCAGGGTGTTAAAAAATACTCCTACAAAGTGTTCAAGTTTACTTGACTGCATTTCAAGTTCTTAGTAACAATGATCTATTTCAGCTGTGAGTTCATATCAGACCATGTGAGGTGGGAGTTTCGACATATTTACCTGGAGTATTACAAACACAATAGGCTGCAGTCGCCCTTAAGCATGATTCAAAAGCACAATGAAGATGTCATTAGACAGAGAGCGGCGTACTTGTTCTGTTTACAGTTCCAGTGTTATCTTAGTAATGGAGTTTGTCGCAGGACAGTGAATGACTCCATGTGTCTCTATGCATTTAAAACACGTCACGCCATCAGTCACCGATATCTTAGTATTCCAACCGAGCGCCCGAGCACTCGCATATTGTACTGTTTATATGGGTATTCCTTCTTTTGATTCTGAGTATTTTATATCAGTTTGTCTCATGGGTAACCTGATCTTAGTATTTACGATGAGAGTAGACTAATCTTAGTAACTTCAACGGGTATCTCACACTTCTTACTGTGGCGAGATCACATGCTCATTTCTTAGTACCTTTGATGACTATGATGAATAATCTCTGTATTTACGACAAATGCTCATTTAGTAATCTCTTTGTCTTGGTAAACCAGTTAAGTGCTGGCATCTTTGTGTCTGCAGTTAGTATTCTTGTCTTGGAATTTTTGATGATACTTAAAAATCAAAGAAAAGCTTTTATCAGCACCTGTAAAGTGATAT